TACAATTGTGGTATCTCCAGTTCTGCCCTGGCCTATCACATTTCCTATATCCTCCAATCACGCCTTCACTATCACAATATTTTACTTTCTTAATTAAATGTGGTCGGCTTTTAGCGGCTTTCATGAGAACCCTCTGCACTCCACGCTGGCCTTTTCACCGCGCTTCATCCTTGTGCTGGGAATGTTGATCGGAGTCTGCCATATTGTTACGCAGTCCTCCTTCCATAGGTCTACTCACAGTCTCTCTCTTGCCCTGTATGATCCGTCTGCCCTCTCTTTCTGGTTCACATATTTCACTCGAACCCTGCCACCCCATGTGTGCCAAATTGAGGCGTTATTAGCCCTACCCTGCAAGCATAACCACAACATTTGTGGGTTGGCACACAAGAGACTATGGTATGAGAAGTCATAGACTTGGTATTAGAGATAGAAGCAGGATAGACGTGCCGGCGATGGAAGCTAGTGGGGTGACAGTAGTTTTTCCCATAATACTATGAGTAGGCTTCATGGTTCCATAGAATTTTACATATACCTGCTTCTCAACAGGTATTCTCATCCAGAGTTGACTGCAGTTTCGACCTCACCTAGGTCTAATCAACAGATCCAGTGGGACTCGAACCTGGGTGGTGGAAATGCAGCGTGTAGTCTACATACGTTAGCTATCAAGCCACACTTCCACGAGTGTCCCTGGTTCACAGATCAGACGTGAATCTTAAGAAAGGCGAGGTCAATCCCATACCATTTTTTGTGGTTGCATTGTCGAGTAAGCACATTTTTATTTGTCATAGCAGTCTATTTTATTACTTATTTTCGTTTATAAGTAGGTTTTAGAGACAATACGCTGCACTACATCAATTAGAGTCCCGTTGAAGGTAAGGATGAAACCAAGGCTGGGACTAAATTGCAGTTCACTCTTCATCACTCTAAACGAAATAGGGCGAATGCAACATTAATATATGACCGAAAACGTACTTATGAAGCAAAAAATTCTAGCAGATATTCCCTCCTGTTCTGATTGAAACTTGAAGAAGTGGCTTGTGAGTGAAGAACCAAATGGGATAGGGGAGCCCTGCAGGAGATAAAAGAAACCGGTGATGAAGGTGATTACATTTTAGTAAGCAGACTTTAAATAACGCACTTTTGGGCGTTAACAGAACAACCGTGGATACAGAGAGGGGGAGATTGCAGAATTGTACATAGGAAGTGAGGTTAAGGGGCGCGGATAGATCGCTAGGGGGCTAGGACGGGAGGGAGAGACTATGATGCAACGGAAGAATAGAAATTTGGCCGAAAGGATCTCCTTCACTTGTCACTTTGACGAGATGAGCGCTATACGTCAGAGCAACTCTGCAGCAAGGGAAAACTAAATACCTTGGCAACTGTCGGTCTGCTTCAAGATATATATTCCGGTGCTTGGGTTAAGGGAGATACCCCAACTGCAGATAGGTTCGATGGTGAGAGCTACAATCAGGGAGATGACTAAAAACAAGTTAAAGCGGGCCTGCTTAGTCAAAGTCATCTTACTCGTTTTGCAACTTGGTCGTGTTGTCAGGACGAAACTTTTGGAGAATGTCATAACTGCTAGAGCAAAGGACTTCGGTCAAGATGCATCCAACTAAGTCCCTCTGACAACACGACAAAGTTGAGAAAGCGAGCTCAGAAAAAGGAAACTGCGAACAAAAAAGAGGCCAAAACATCTTACCCTTCAAATCTACAGTGTTGGTTCGATATCGGTATGGCAAATTGGTTGGAGCATCAGATAGACCTTGTGGAACGTACCTAGTCCGTAACCTCTGCCATAATAGTCGTGATTTCCAGCATAGGACAATTGACTTGGTACATTCCCGAACGTTTCGCATCGTAGTCGGTATCGTCAGTGAGAAATGCCCTCATCAACACAGAGTTTCAACTTATCAAATTGACAAGTGAAAGCAATCCCTTTGGTCAATTTTCTGTTCAAACGTTGTGGCATCACTCCTCGCCCTTAGGTTTTGTTCTACCTTCTAGTGCCGCATCTCATTCTCTCAATCCCACTTCATATGACCAATCCAATTATTCACACAATTCTGTGATCTCGTTTCTTTCAAATCACCCTATACTCGATTAAATAGGCCAGTTTTAGAGTATATATACCACTTTTTAGGAATTTGCCG